AATAGATTTAAAAAATAGTCATCTTTTTCTGTGCTACCCCAATTTTTATACTTAAATGGGAGTTACGTCAATTTGTAATTCTCATAAACATTTTTTGGTATCGTCATTAAGTGACTTGAGTGAAAAAGTGATATCGAAGTATAATATTTATATAATTCCGCTTAACAAATATTTGGGCGTATAGCATGTGTACCGTAATGTAAATATATTGCACATTTTACGTAACGAGTATAATTAATAACACGTACATTTTTCTGTTTTCATTTTTCTAATATAAGCCGAACCGCGGCGAAAAATCGCCAAGGGTTTTCACGGCTTTTCTTCGAAAAATGCCAACAGTCGAATGATTGCAGAAAAATTTCGCATTAGAATAATCTACAGAACATCCTGAAATATCTTTCCGATTTTTCAAAATTATATATGCAACAAAGCACTGTTGTATTTTTGAATGCTACATTTTTTTTGAGTTGCTATTTATTGACATCAGTGGCGACTTTTTGACGATCTAATATGTCTGAAATGTTTTTGTGAGGGGATGTACTGAAGATTATTTTTGGTAACGGCTAAAAAAATTGTATGCAACACGAATGGGGTCACCTAGTTCGGACGTTTTGGGTCAATGTTTTTGGTGAATAAAATGTACGTATACCATACTCCTGTGAACCCTGGGATTATAAATACAGCGAACGCGAAAGCAACAACAAATGAAAAAGTTGTGCAGGAGCAAGATACCAGGTACCTTAAAAAAAATTATAAACAATAGTGTTCGATATTCGGTCTGGATGGCTGTAGTCTAGGATTGTTCTCCTCTTTCGGGGAAAAGACCAATGAGGTCATTTATCTGACATTTCTCCAACGGTTGTCTTTGATATCATCAAGGAATATAGCGGGGGTGTTAAATCCTTCACTGTGGTTCTACTAAAGCAACGTAGGACTTTATGCTCTTAATGTATTCTCTGAAGGAGGAGAAACAATCCTAAACCACGGCTAATATCGGGCACTATTCTAGCCAATCGTGAAAGCCTTCGTTAGCCTTTCAAAAATGATTTTTGAGATAAAATTTATTTAAAAATTTAGGATTGAACCCAATCGTGCCAAGTATCCTGTGGAAGGATAAATACGGGACGGGCTCACAACACATATATTATGTATGCTTATATAGAGGCATCGAGGTGCGTTTGTGCAAAATAAAATGCTTTTAGAATGAGTTTAAGGAATATATAATGTACAAAAATAATGCAGCGTTAATATTTTTCTCTTTCAAATTCAATTTTAAAATGACCACTCTTTTAAAATCTGCATTCGTGAGTGTTATAATAAGCGTAGCATTAAATAAAACTGAGTTTTATAAAGTCATGCTTACGAGTTGCTTAATGATCATTAAAAAGAAATAGTTTACTATTATAATATGACGTCATTTTTAATATTTCATTATAATTTTGTTAAGTTATTGGAGAGGCAGTTTCATTTAGCGTTTACGTTTATTATAAATCATTTTTGATCTCACTTATTGCATTTTCATTCGTATGCCAAAACTGTTGCTTTTTTATTACTACAAAAATTAAAGCGGCCGTTTTATGATGAGCAGTTTAATTATTTTGTTTCTTTTATGGTTAGTGCCCTTTTGTTATATTTATTAAACTTTAACACTAGAAAAGTTATACCTAACTTTGCAATAAATATACGAACTCAGTCTGAACAAACGGGTAATATGTAAATTAATTTTACTGTTTTATGATGTGAATTTTATTCTCTTTGTTAATTTTTTAACCCTATTGTCTCTGGAAATTTATTCAAGAAAACCTTTTCAATATTTTTTTGATTAAACTCGATTCAATGTTTATGTGATGACGTAGTAAATATAGTTATTTTTGGCGATTCCGGGTTCATATTTTTATGGCAAAATAATATTATGTACCGAATTACGTGTTGAACATTATCGAAGCTAAAAATTCGTAAAGCCACCCTGTGTGTGCGATTAATGTGGACAGTCACGAAAGTGAAAATGTTCGACAAGCTAAGAAACGAAAGTCTAATATTTATATATTTCGGTTTCTTTTTCTTTAGCGGGAAACTACATTAGCTAACACACATTATTGATCCTATACAATGCTATGTATATCTTTTTAAGCTATTTAAATATTAGTCTAGCCTGCCTAAATTTTTTTTATAACTATTTAGGTATGATATCAACACTTACTAAAACCTGCCTACATACACATTTATTGGGGTACCTTTTACATTATATACTGACTATTAGACATAACCCTTACTAAAATTACTATTAGTTTTAAGTTTTTATAGTAAACATTTCGGTTTTTAAATCGTCCTTAATTTTGTAATGGTAATTCAGCAGTTTCGTTTTTGTTAATTCTGCTAAAAGAAATTTTGTTTAACGGAACGGTACAGGAATGTAAAAATACAGAATTAATAACAATACGTGCGATTTATTGCATTATTTAATTTACATTGTTAAAATTTTGTGCGACCACCGCGTCGCATTAAAAATTTCTTCGATGTTTTCTTTTTCTTTTAACTTCAAAGTTTATTTTCACAGCCCAATTATAATAATTGTATTAAATTGACTAAATTAACGTAATATAAATGTACATTTAAATGCAGTTAGTGTGCTGACTGATGTATATACAGTCACGAAGTATTATATCAAAACCGCATCACTAGAAATATAAGATAGACTTCACCTGTTGTATACGTTCTTTTAACGCACATTGACAAAGGGTGGCGCAAAATATGACAATTTTTTTTATCTATTTCCTAGTTTATTGCGACTATTGAACGCTTCCAAAAAAATAGTACAATTAAGCACATTTTAGAAGTAGTAATTAGTAATTTTTCTCTTCTTTCGTCACTATAAATGATTAGACATTCAACAAAATTAAATTCAACCCCATTGAATTTTTAGGTAGAAATATGAATTCTTGAAAGTCGTTCAAGAATTTAAAATTTTTATCAACACTTTTGATGTTTTTGAATAATCTTCAAATATCTAAATTAAGAGGGATTTTTCACTTGTAATCCATATTGTAATGAGATATTGAGAGGCTACGTATAAACATCTATTTTAATATAAAAACAAAAGCACCCCCAAAAAGTGTCTAATATTTTGATAGCGTTCTTTAATTATAATAAACTAATAGATTTAAAAAATAGTCATCTTTTTCTGTGCTACCCCAATTTTTATACTTAAATGGGAGTTACGTCAATTTGTAATTCTCATAAACATTTTTTGGTATCGTCATTAAGTGACTTGAGTGAAAAAGTGATATCGAAGTAAATAAGTAGCTGCGTTTTATTATTTGTGAGGAAACGTGGTGATTGAAATTAAAGTGTGTTATTATTAGGTCTCATTTTGATTAAGAACCCCATTATTAAAATTACCCTGCACCAAACCGAGCGGCAAGGATTCACAGGGGCATGGCATGCAGACTGGCCGCTGCTCCACCACCGTACACGGCACCGAGATGCTCGAGATGGGGATAGGGGAGCAGCGGCAAGGGGTGGTGGTGCAAGTTGGCCAAGGCATTACCTGCTGGGTACGGCAGTCCGAAACTAGGATAGCCCGAATAACCTCTACCCGCGGCGTATGCCGCATATGCGGCTGCCGGAAAACCTGAAAAGGAAAATCTATGTTAGATACAAATATATAACAACATAAACAAAATTAACCAATCAAACAACATATTTATGAAGAATAAAGTAAACCTTAGACACGGCACCGAACTTATCATTCCTGAGTTTAGAAATTTCATCGATAAGTAGAAAATACTTATCGTCTTTAATGCAATATATACGTAGTAGATACTGTAAAATTACGTTGACATCATACACATAGTTTGTGCTAACCAATCCAAGAAGTAATAACTACTTTTCCTCTCAAATGGGCTAATACCTTGAAATATAGATATAGAAAATACAGGAATTGTAGGTTACTTCGTTTTAATTAATTTAATGTAGTGTGTACTGTATGTTCGCAATTATTTGCCCGTTGTAATAAGAAGCAGTATCAAACAGAGAATACGTGCCGTATGTCGTTGAATAAATGACTGGTCCATACGAAATTTTCCAATAATGTTACTATCTGCTAGTGTGAAATAAATTTTGCTGAAAAGCGCTATCAATTAGCAAAATTGCGTGTAATAACGGTATAGAACAACTTAGTCTCAAAGTGTTGTAAGCGAGACACAATTATCCAAAATTTCATATAAATATATATACCTATTCGCGTTTAAAAATCTATAAAACGCTTTGATACCCAAAATATCATGCTCAGTTAGAGACGAGAGTCTCTAGAGAATCCTCAGCTGGAAAATCTTCAAGTTTTAAGTGTTGAAATTCATTTATTTCAGTTTTACAAAACTCAATTTGATTTTCTTGAATAGTTTTTATATAGGTAGGTACTATAAAAGAAAATCGGATAAATATATTAAAATGAAAGAAAAAGGAAGAAAAATATACGAGCATTACCTACGAATAGTAATGAAATTATAGTAAGAAAACTGAGAGTGATATTATTTTTGGTAAAATTTTCAACAATTTTGCGCACATTTTCTTGAGCTGACAGGTTAAATTTCCTCGACAATATCGTGTTTTCTTAAGCAAAATGTATGAGTGTACTTTGCAGTTAAACTATATACCTAATCCCACCAAGACGTATAGTACAAGATGTATTTGTGTAGAGAGCACGTGAAACATGACCGTTTTTACCTGAAGAAATTGCAGCACTGTGTTTCTGAGATATACGGTTGGCATTTATACGGTGGTATTTGTTGAATAATAAGACTAATAAAACTAAAAATCAGGACAAATATCTTTTTTAAAAATAGAAAAGTTGTGCTGGATTATCAAATGGGATTAAGATTACACAGATTCAAATATAAAGTAAAACTATAATATTGAGAAGTTTCAAAAAATGTTACTTTACGGATAGGTAAAGTTACTAAAAATTGTGACTGATAAGACAGAAAACATATTACAAGATTATTTCTATACGGTTTATAATATAAATTTCCTAGAAACGTTGCTTAGCGTTAACGATAATATTACTGCTTAATATTTTTGGTTAAAAGTTGAAAACTAACGTCTAATCAATTAAAGAAGTAAATACAAGGGTGCGTTTTTAAGTTCGCGGAATGGGTAGCTAGGTCATTAGTGAGGGTATTAACTCGAGTCATTACGAATTAAGCAACTCATTATTAGTATAAATACCAAGTTTTATCGTAATTGGGTCAGTAGTCTTTGAACTATCGTTGACGAAAAAATCAATCGGGAACAAATTGTAAAATATAGAGAAAATCGAGTACCGTGCTGGTATAAAGTTCCTTACTAAGCAAGGAAAATCAGTTCAAACCATACTGGAAGAGATGTCATCCCTTTACGGGGACTCTTGCCCAGGTAAAACCATGGTTTACAAGTGGCATACCCTCTTTAAGCACGGCAGGGACACTTGAAGACGACCCACGGCAAAGCCGTCCGATCGAGGTGACCACTCCGGACATCATTCAAAAACTCGAAAAATTAGTACTGGAAGATGAACAACTTAAGACGAAACAGCTCGCAGAAATGGTAGAAGTATCATATACAATCATTTTTAAAATTCTTCAGGATCATTTTGGCATGACTAAAATCATCACAAGACGGACGCCTCAAAAGTAACAGCCTGTGGAGTGTTCTCGCGCGTTTTTGGACCTCTATAGTGAAGATAAAAATGGAGTAGTGACTCCATTTTTTACTCGGAGTTGGGTTCATTATTATGAACCTGAGTCCAAACAGACAAACTACCACCCAAGAAATTTAAGGTGTCACAGTTGGCTGGGAAAATCATGGCGGTAGTTTTTTGGGATTCAGAAGGGACCCTGTTGATCGATTACAAAGATAAAGTGTCTCCATAACCGGAGAATACTATGCTTCAATCCTACAGCGGTCAAAGAAACCAGTCAAAGTTCACAAGAGCCTTGTTGCGAACGCTGCCCTGCAGAAGATGGTCTTCAAAATTTTGGCTCACCCACCCTACAGTCCTGACCTAACTCCCAGCGATTATTACCTATTCCCAAACTTGAAAAAAAGTTTTCGTGGGAAGAAATTTTCAAGCGACGGAGAAGTGAAGGATGCAGTTTCGGCATATTTTTCAGACAAAGACAAAACACTTTTTTTCGAAGGTATACCTAAGTTAATTGAAATATCGGAAAAATGTATAAGGGTAGCAGGTGAATATATTGAAAAGGAAAAGTAAATTCGTACTTTTATTTCCACTTCTTACCCTCTATTCCGCGAACTTAAAAACGCCCCCTCGTACTTCCTTCTGTGATGTATGTATAATCTAATATTGATGAAATTGATGTATTTACTTACCGTCAGGAAGTGCTCCAAGAGACCACATGAAATCTACAAAAAAAAACGAAAAACAACGCATTAATAAATCGTTGCTGTTGTTAAAAAATCAATCGAAAAAGCGAAAATAAAATTAAAAATCTAAGTTGATGTACAATGGCTTAAGAAAATAATTTGTTCTAATTAATTAAATAATGCTATGTTAGTTTTACGATAGATTTAGGAATATAGACACGAAGCATAAAATGTCATTTTAGATGAAAGGAAATGAATGATTCCTTTCAGGAGTTGAAGAAGGACACATTGGTGTCTATGTCTATGAGTTTTACTCCAATTTAATTTTCTCAAGCCATTGCGATGACATGTTTTTGTATGATTTCGGTTCAGCATTCATGAAATTTCTCTACGTTTCTACAAACTACTAAAATGGAAACTGCGACAACACTGAAAATAATCAAAAATTCTTTAAGGCAACCGGATAATTTTTATAGACGACAAATACTTCTGCAATCGATTTTCGACCATTGGAACTAAACTCTACTTTCAACTTCACATTTTATATCTATTCTACGACACTAATAAAACACGTATATGTATGCTGATTTTATGCTCTTTTGCAAAAAGTTTCAAAATATACCAGGAGCAACTGAATCAAAATTAAATTTGAAACTGCCCTAGCATATTGCATTTAAACTATTCTACGTTGTAAGTAATGTTTGAACCATAAACATTAATATGCTGCTAAAGTTTGAGGAATCTAACTATGTATGTAAATATTTTAGAGCGTTACAACTTTTGATTTTAGTTACATCTAAAGCCTGAATAGTATCAAAAGTTAGTTTTCTGCTTTACTACTACATGTGAATACATGGTTATAACTAATAAGTAATGTTACTTTGAAACAGAATAGGACTAGAGTCTAAAATACCTGTTCCAGACAACTAATTTGCACAACAAAATTACCGATACCTATACTTCTTGTCGATAATGCCCTTGGTATAAGGAGATCTATATTACAATATAAAGTATAACAAATTAAAGATATATCAATTAATATTATAATGGAAGTAGTAATTAAATGTCTTCCACTAGCGCCTACGACTATTTACATCCACTGTAATCTTGATTAATTACAAATACGTAGGGTAAATTATTAACTAATATAGTGATGTAGGTAATTAGGTGTATTAACTGGGAAAACATATTTTCTTTACTGCCTACCTACGTAGTTTAACTAGTCTCATTAGTAGTATTTGTTATACTAATTGTACCACAAAATTAAATCCTTACTCCTCACTCTCCATCTATCAAAATTAGTCTATTACTTCAATCAGAATGACAAATTCTATTGGAAATTCATCATGAAAAACGCTATCTCATTAAATTTGGTTTTCAAAAAGTTTTGGTTAAGGTAATTTTGATTTCTACATTATATTTTACACTTATTCATTTTTTTAAAAATATACTTAACAGTGGCGGCTGGTATTTAAGTTCANTGGTTGGTTTTTTAAAGGGATTAATTTTATAAACTATAAAACTATAGAGAAAATTTAAGAATATACTTTAAGCAGCATAGACCACACAATAAAGTTCGAAGACACTGATGTTTTGGTCACAGAATCATCATATTATTCCAGACTGTACAGGGAAGCAATAGTCATAGGTAGCCAAACTTAGAAGCAACATAACAGAATGGAAAGATCACTAATAATTAATCGTGCGTGTATTTCGTCTGTAAAAACGACCTATTTGAAAAAATAGTGCTGTCCTAATTCGGGTCTAAAGGCCATCACAGCCAACCAGGAAACCTGCCTACCAGAGACTCCAAAGAACATCTCTTGCTAGTCTGCGCTAAATCAATCACCAGAACAGATCTCTTAAAAATGCCAATAGCACGTGCTCTCAATGTTTATCTTTTTTAATTCATTATAAATGGAAGGAAATATTAATGTGCTGGTTTGGCATTTTAATTCACTTTTCGTTTAATTCAATTACTTGTACTTGTTACTTATGTCCCTTCGCCTTTATTTCGTCCAGCGAAAATGAAAATCATTTGATCGTTTCATTTCTTCTTGCACTAATCCAAAAATATAACAGAGTAGCAAGTAGTTTTTGATCATTAGAAACAATTGAAATAAATGACATTTATTTTGATAAAGATTAAGAACATGTTCATAGTAACTAATCGGTAATCTTTTAAATCTGAAAACTATACACATATGTGGCTCATCCATGAAAGTTAGGTAAATGCTGTTTGGTTTTCGTTGTGGTGGTTTCTGAGGAGATGGAGTTAGTACATTGATCCAAGGCCCATGGAGTTCAAAGAGGACCCATGGGAAGGAGGAAGCAATAAAATATAATCATTTTGGGGAATCCGGCGGTTTGTGTGTTGGGAGAATTGAATTAATAATGTGTCCCATAATAGCATCGCCGCGTGACAGGCTGGGGCAGAGAACTGCTTCGAGAAAGGAGTGCACTTTTGAGAGACGGAAGCAAATTAAAAGTAAACGATCCTACGTCGCAGACGTCGTTGCAATATCCGTAGCGATGTGCTCCTGCACTGCATCCGTTGAAGGAGAACTTTCCTGTGCGGGTCGTTCTACCAGGCATGCACATTGCACACCTGCCCTGTCTCCTGAATTTCTGAAAAACTTATCAAAGCGACTCGCTCACGTAAGGGTACGTAGACGTACCATTCGTAGGTATAAACGGGTCCTATTTCGAGCAAATGTGGATACGTTTTCCGAGGAAAAAAGCTCCGCTACATTAAAATAACCAGGCTCCTTTCGCATATCCCTTTATTCCACAATTTTGTCTTTAGTATGTATGCATTCATGAGTTACTTGCAATTCCCAGCTCTAGAATGGTTAACAATAGCAACAGCACATGTGTCAGTACATACGACAGTAGGTACTGTACGTACAGAACGGGGAAAAAGTACCAAAACTAACTCATCTTCTTTTGTTTTTTACTGATCTAATTCATATGTAAAGGTTAATTAACAGAAAATTTAATGCAAACACAATGAGAGCGGCGGCCAATTAACGTTTAGGACACAAGCTTCATGATTGTGTTTAATTTTTACAAGTAATGGATGAGGAGGCCTCGATAGAATGACAAATTCTGAGTCACTAACAGCTGATTTTTGGGTTTACTGATTGTCGTCGTCTAGAGAGTTTCCATTCCGAATTAATGCGCTGAATCAACCGCCCCTATCAAAAAGAAAAATCTACTGACGACGACAGACAAAAAGCCCAAAAACTAGCAGCAGCTTTGGACAACGGCCGCGAAAGCTTTACTCGATTTATCAACCATAGGATATGATTTAACTAATGAAAAATATGTATTTCCCTTAATAAGCCAAAACAGCGTTTGATATATTTTACGTTCTTGTTACAGGCGTCATGTAACTTATTTGAAGAATTCCATTAAGTTGAAGAGACAGCTTTAGATTCCACATGGTATACATCTCAAAAATGGTAAGTGATACCCTAAACTTTCAAATTTATATATTATAACATGAAATTTGTGTGGCAAGGTTTGATAAAGAAGTATTCAATCACACAATCTCTTTACAAGCAATTTCTTCTTGCATAAGTTGTTTGCTTTCATATTCACGATCAGTTTATAAGTTGTTGAAATGTTATTAAGAGAATGAGTTAATTTTCGGCACTTTTATCTCATACAGTGGTAATCACACCCTTACACTTCGAAACAACAATAACTCAACCTTACAGGGCTTTATAATAAATAATAACTTTGGCACATTATGTAATAAATACATGTACAGATATATTCATATTCATTTATATATATATATAATATTTATANGGTATCGTCATTAAGTGACTTGAGTGAAAAAGTGATATCGAAGTATAATATTTATATAATTCCGCTTAACAAATATTTGGGCGTATAGCATGTGTACCGTAATGTAAATATATTGCACATTTTACGTAACGAGTATAATTAATAACACGTACATTTTTCTGTTTTCATTTTTCTAATATAAGCCGAACCGCGGCGAAAAATCGCCAAGGGTTTTCACGGCTTTTCTTCGAAAAATGCCAACAGTCGAATGATTGCAGAAAAATTTCGCATTAGAATAATCTACAGAACATCCTGAAATATCTTTCCGATTTTTCAAAATTATATATGCAACAAAGCACTGTTGTATTTTTGAATGCTACATTTTTTTTGAGTTGCTATTTATTGACATCAGTGGCGACTTTTTGACGATCTAATATGTCTGAAATGTTTTTGTGAGGGGATGTACTGAAGATTATTTTTGGTAACGGCTAAAAAAATTGTATGCAACACGAATGGGGTCACCTAGTTCGGACGTTTTGGGTCAATGTTTTTGGTGAATAAAATGTACGTATACCATACTCCTGTGAACCCTGGGATTATAAATACAGCGAACGCGAAAGCAACAACAAATGAAAAAGTTGTGCAGGAGCAAGATACCAGGTACCTTAAAAAAAATTATAAACAATAGTGTTCGATATTCGGTCTGGATGGCTGTAGTCTAGGATTGTTCTCCTCTTTCGGGGAAAAGACCAATGAGGTCATTTATCTGACATTTCTCCAACGGTTGTCTTTGATATCATCAAGGAATATAGCGGGGGTGTTAAATCCTTCACTGTGGTTCTACTAAAGCAACGTAGGACTTTATGCTCTTAATGTATTCTCTGAAGGAGGAGAAACAATCCTAAACCACGGCTAATATCGGGCACTATTCTAGCCAATCGTGAAAGCCTTCGTTAGCCTTTCAAAAATGATTTTTGAGATAAAATTTATTTAAAAATTTAGGATTGAACCCAATCGTGCCAAGTATCCTGTGGAAGGATAAATACGGGACGGGCTCACAACACATATATTATGTATGCTTATATAGAGGCATCGAGGTGCGTTTGTGCAAAATAAAATGCTTTTAGAATGAGTTTAAGGAATATATAATGTACAAAAATAATGCAGCGTTAATATTTTTCTCTTTCAAATTCAATTTTAAAATGACCACTCTTTTAAAATCTGCATTCGTGAGTGTTATAATA